AACGACTACTACCACTACTACTACTACTACTACTACTACTACTACTACTACTACTACTACTACTACTACTATGACAACTACTACTACTGCTGTAATTACCACTACTACTGCTGACTACTACTACTACTACTACTACTACTACTACTACTACTACTACTACTACTACTACGCTACTGGACTACTACTACTACTACTACTACTACTACTACTACTACTACTACTACTACTACTACTAACTACTACTACTACTACTACTACTACTACTACTACTACTACTACTACTACTACTACTACTACTACTACTACTACTACTACTACTACTACTACTACTACTACTACTACTACTACTACTACTACTACTACTACTACTACTACTACTACTACTACTACTACTACTACTACTACTACTACTACTACTACTAGTACTAGTACTAGTACTAGTACGTACGAGTACGAGTACGAGTACTAGTACTACTACTACGACGACGACGACGACTACTACTACTACTACTGCTACTACTACTCCTCTGAAGGCCCCAAGAGGCCGACAATAACCCCGAACCGGCCGCTCCAATTTTTGCTCGGAGCCCTGAATCTCTGGGACCTCGACCCGCAAGCACAAATCACGACCAGAGCCCTAGATCCCATCTGTCTGCTGCATGTTGCGAGCCGGATCGATCTGTGCTGGCCCTGGGGCCCGATAACCGCGCGAACATGCCCAGTGCCAGAAAATTGCCGCACCCGGATTCCCAGAGTAGAGGAAGAACACACGGCAGAAACACAAACTTTCGGCGCTCCACGCGGGTTTCTTGGATCGCCGTGTGTCGTTTTTCCTTCTTCGGCAGAGGGCTTACAGTCAACCCGTATAGTGAGGATGCGCGGTAAGCGTGCACGGGCCTTGGAGCACTATGGCGACGCTTTTCGAACGGGGCTGATCAGCGAAAGTTGCCAGGAACGGGCCAAAGGGGCAGGGATGCAAGGGCAACCTTGGAAACTTGCTCATCCTTGCAATGCTGGTCGACTGTGCTTCAACACTGCTCGCCAGGAGGGGGATGCGGAGGATGCGGAGGAGGACGAGGCGGAGGAGGAGGCGGACGAGGAGGAGGACGAGGAGGAGGAGGAGGAGGAGGGCAACCTTGGTAACTTGCTCATTCTTGCTGTGCGGGTTGACTGCATGCCGTTTCTCGTCTTCGACAGAGGGCTGACAAAACGCCCGCAGCCCGGCTCGCCAGGCCACAGGCCTCTCGGCGCGCTGGCTGTCGGCGAGGAAAGGGGCGGGGGGGGGCGTCGAGAAAAAGGGCCGCGACCCGCAGCAGCCCGCGCCCCTTCCTCCTCCTCCTCCTCCTCCTCCTCCTTCCTCCTTCCTCCTTCCTCCTTCCTCCTCCTTCCTCCTCCTCCTCCTCCTCCTCCTCCTCCTCCTCCTCCTCCTCCCCCTCCGGGAGGGGAGGGTCCCCAGACATGTTCGAGTCGTGACAAAACCCAGTTGCGTCAGTCAGGCTGCTCTGAACCATCGGGCGCCCTGTTTTTGTCTTTCCCACAAGTAACCAATGCGTTCATGCTGAAACTTGCCTGCTTTCCCTCCGAGGGAACGGGGAGCTGCACCATGCTGAGCACAAGCCACGAGCGAGAAGGAACAAGGAGCAGGAACGCCGACAAGGGGAGTGGGCAACGTGGCTCGACCAGGCGCCCTGGCCTCCTGTTGCTGTCCTAACAATGGCGACAACGTGCGACATTTGAAATGGTGCCATCGACGAAATCGGAGCCCTCGCCGTCGCTCAGACGTCCATTCTCCGAGTGTTTTGTCGGTTGCGAGAGGAAATCACCCGCCGCTGCCAGGGCGAAGTCGAGACAAATGATTCTCCGCCGCCCGCCCGTCCAGCGGTGGCTCGCGGTGTCCCGCGGTGTCCCGTGGTGTCCAACGTTGCTAGGGCGAAGTCAAGACAGATGATTCTCCCCCGCCCGCACGTCCGTCCGTCCAACGGTGGCTCGCGGTGTCCCGCGGTGTCCCGTGGTGTCCCGTGGTGTTCCGTGGTGCCCCGTGGTGTCCCATTGAATGAAATCGATAGAAAGTACTGAGATCGATAGTGAGATCGATAATGAGATCGACAGGTGTCCCGTGGTGTCTCGAAGTGTCCCGTTGAGTTAGATAGATAGTGAGATCGATAGTGGGACCGATAGTGAGATCGATGTGGTGTCTCGAGGCGTCCTGTGGTGCCCCGTGGTGTCCCGTTGAGTGAGATCGATAGTGAGATCGGTAGTGAGACCGATAATGAGATCGATACTGAAATCGATGTGGTGCCCCGAGGTGTCCCATGGTGTCCCGTTGAGTGAGATCGATAGTGAGATCGATAGTGAGATCGACAGGTGTCCCGTGGTGTCCCGTTGATTGAGATCGATCATGAGATCGATGTAATGCCCCGAGGTGTCCCGTGGTGTCCCCTTGAGTGAGATCGATAATGAGATCGATAGTGAGATCGACAGGTGTCCCGTGGTGTCTCGAGGTGTCGCGTGGTGTCCCCTTGAGTGAGATCGATAGTGCGATCGATAGTGAGACCGATAGTGAGATCGATGTGATGTCTCGAGGCGTCCTGTGGTGTCCCGTGGAGTCCCGTTGAATGAAATCGATAGTGAGATCGAGAACGAGACCGATAGTGAGATCGACAGGTGTCCCGTGGTGTCTTGTGGTGTCCCGTTGAGTGAGATCGATAGTGAGATCGATAGTGAGATCGATGTGGTGCCCCGAGGTGTCCCGTGGTGTCCTATGGTGTCCCGTTGAGTGAGATCGATAGTGAGACCGATAGTGAGACCGATAATGAGATCGAGAGGTGTCCCGCGGTGTCCCGTGGTGTCCCGTGGTGGCCTGTGGTGTCCAGGGGTGTCCCGTTGAGTGAGATCGATAGAGAGATCGATTGAGTCAGATGATGGTCCCCCCCCCTCTCCCCCCCCACACGTCCTTATCACCCGAACGGTGGTCGTCTCGGAAATGAGGGGGTGAGATCGAAGTGGAACGGAGAGCCCCCCTACCGGGAAATCGGTTTCGGTTTCGTGTTCGTGCGTGCCGTGCGTGCGGGCGAGGCGAAGCTGCGTGGGCGGGCGAGAAGTAAGTCTCCTGTAGCTGAAGCGCGGCCGGACCAAAAGTCTCCGTTCCGGCAACCGATGCCCCGCGGTGTCCCGCCGGTGTCCCGCTCGGGGGCCGGTGGCGCGCGGTGTCCCGCCGGTGACCCGTCGGTGTCCCGATGATGATGATGATGATGATGATGATGATGATGATGATGATGATGATGAGGATGAGGATGAGGATGATGATGATGATGATAATGATGATGATGATGATCTTGATGATGTTGGCGATGATGATGATGGTGATGGTGGTGATGATGAAGGTGTCCCGATGATGATGATGGTGATTATGTTGACGATGTTGATGATGATGATGATTGTGGTGATGATGATGGTGCCCCGATGATGATGTTGATGATGATGCTGCTGACGATGATGATGATGGTGCCCCGATGATGATGATGATGGTGATGATGTTGATGTTGATGATCCTGGTGATGTTGATGATGATCATATGATATGCTGATGATGACGATGATGATGATGATGATGATGGTGTCCCGATGATGATGATGTTGATGATGTTGGCGATGATGATGATGGTGATGATGATGATGGTGTCCCGATGATGATAATGATGATGATGACGATGATGGTGTCCCGATGGTGATGATGATGATGGGGATGATGATGAGGTGATGATGATTTTCATGGTGGCCCAATGATTGTGATGATGCTGATGTTGATGCTGATGATGGTGTCATGCTGATGTTGATGATGATGATGATGGTGATGGTGATGATAGTGACGATGATGATGGTGTTCCGATGATGATGTTGATGATGACGTTGCTAATGATGATGATGATGATGATGATGGTGTCCCGGTGATGATGATGATGATGATGATGATAATATTGTTCGTGATCATGATGATGAGATGATGATGATGATGATGATGATGGTGGTGGTGTTCCGATGATGACGATGGTGTCCCGATGGTGATGATGTTGATGATGATGGTGACGATGATGGTGTCCCGATGATGACGATGATGATGACGATGATGATGATGATGATGATGATGATAATGTTGATGCTGATGGTGATGAGGTGATGATGATGATGGTGTCCCGATGATGCTGATGATGGGGATAATGATGATGTTGATGATGTTAATGACGTTGACGACGATGATGTTGATGATGATGTTGATGATGTTGATGATGACGTTGATTGTGATATCGACTGTGATATCGATAGTGAGATCGATAGTTAGACCAACTGTGAGATCGATTGTGAGATCGATAGTGAGATCGATAGTGAGATCGATTGTGAGATCGATAGTCAGATCGATTGTGAGATCTATCAAATGGAATAGATCGAGTGAGATCGATTGTGAGATCGATCGAGTGAGATCGATCGAGCGAGACCGATAGTGAGGTCGATAGTGAGATCGATAGTGAGACCGATCGAGTGAGACGTTGGTTCCTCCCTCCCCCCCCCGAACCTCCTTATCACCCGAAGGGTGGTCGTATGGGTATAGGTATATGCTTGCAGATGCGCGGCCAGCCCGCAATCGAAACGCAGGGAGTGGTTCAGCCATCAGCCGCGCTGGTCTGCAGCGGGACGCCACCAAGTGCTGACGCGGGGAGCCTCCCGCTCAGAGCCGTGCGCCCGGAGCGGTCCCCGCCAGCGGAGGCGCCGTGCTGTGGGGCCTGCAAGGCCAGAGACGAAGCGCATGCAGCGAGAGCCTGAAGGAACTCGCGCATGCAACTATACTGCCCTGGAAAACTAATGCAACTTTAACCGTCGACTTGCTTGTCTTCGCCGCTTTTGGCATCCAGGGGTCGCTGTCGGGCCCCAGGACTGTCAGAAACGGACCCAGGATGAAAAACTACCTCCACGGCAATCCCGCGGACGGTTGCTCTTCCCCCTCGCCTTGCTCTGGTTCGTCTCCAGGCCGAGCTGCTCCAGAGCTTCCATCGCTCTGGTGACGCTCGCCTCGCACAGGGCAAGGATCAGCCTGCACCTGGATATGGTGCCGTGGAGGAGAATATAGAGGAACAACAAACTACACAAACATAGACTTTCGGATGTCCGCGCGAAGTTATTGGATGGGCGCTGGACCTCCTTAGGGACGCCTCCGGCGCCGCCCCTGGCGCGCTCCGCGCTCCAAAAAAGGGTGTCCAACGCCGATCCGAGAAATCCGCGCTAACCTCCGACAGTTCATGTTTATACAATTTTTCTTCTTCGAGGAGGAGTGGGAAAGGGGAGGGACGAGGGGTGAGAAGGAAGAAATCTGGCAGGAGGAGTGCGGAAAGAGGATGAGGGCGAGGCAGGAAGTGGAGGAGGGAGGAAAGAGGGCGAGCAGGAGGACGAGTAGGGAGAGGAGCAGACAGAGGAGGGAGCAGAGGGAGGAGAAGTCATCGCGATGGGGGCCGGCCGCGAGGCAAACAAGGGAAACGAGGGCTGGGAGGGCGGGGCCATGGGGAAGGAGGGCGGGGCCATGGGGAAGGGGGGATGGGGAAACGATGGGCACTGGAGGGAGAGAGGGGGAGAGAGAAAGATGAAGGGGCCCCAGGACACACAAATAAATACACACAAATAAAAAGATTCCCCATATGCTCCAATATTTTCTGGGTTTCTGTCTTCCCCCCACTTGCCATATTTTTCCTATATTTTCTGAGGAATCGGGGATTGATTGTGTCTGTGTGTTGTTTCCTCTCCTGAAAAGAGGGGGGTGGGGGGAAGGGTGGACGCACAGGAGGAGATGGAGGAGAGCGGGGGTATGGGTTCTGGTAGAGCAGGAGCCGACCCAGCTGCAAGATGATGCGGCTGCAGTCTCACCAGCCCTTTAGGGCACAGGTGGTTTAGGGCGCTTCCTATTCCAACCCCCTTCTTCCCCTTCGGGGAGGGGTTCATCACGGGAATTCTCGTTTTCACATTTTCGGAACTATTTCCTAACTTTTTATGGTTTCATGGATCCCACGGCTGTAGAAAGCATGCACTTCATAAATCACTGCTCCTTATCAAAATGCATCCCCTCCTCAACCCGACGGGCCGCACACCCGGACCAATGCCGACCCCCCCCCACCACCACTGGCAAAAAGACAGTGCGAAGTGCACGTTGCATCAAAGTCTGGGTCGTGCGCGGACGCCCCGCGATCACTTCGCACGGTTTATTGTCAGGGACGGCGGGAGGGCAGGCATATTGCCTGCTGTGTGCAGTACAGTCGACCCGTATCATAAGGACGCACGATAAGGATGCAATCGCTTTGGAAGGCCATTGCGAAGCTTTTCGAGCGGGGCCCGGCCAGCGAAAGTGGCCAAGGATGGGCCGAAGGCAAGGATGCAAGGGTACCCTTGGGAAGGATGCCCATCCTCACTATGCGGGTTGACTGCGCCCCCCCCTTTCCATCCCTTGTAAACAGACACTACGAAGTGCATTTTCTGAGTCATGCGCGGACGCCCCGCGATCAATCCGCATGTTTTTTTTTTTGACACAAGGACGGCGGGGGACGGCACATGGTCTGCTGTGTGCAATGCCACCCTCCCCGCCATTCCGTGCAGAAAACCAATGCGAGATGCACTTTGCACCAACGTCTGGACCAGGCGCGAACGCTCCGCGTTCGCTTTGCATTGTTTTTGACAGGGGCGGCGTGGGGGCTGGCATATTGCCTGCTGCGTGCAGGCCCACCGTCTCTTTCAACCAAACACGGAAAACACTTTGCCAAAGGCGTCGGGGGTGGGGGGGCGGCATAATGCGGGCTGCGTGCAGGTGCAAAGTGATCGCGGGTGCACATCCACACACACACACACTTTGCATCGGCGGCTAAGCAGAGGGACTTCGCTGTCGAGCAAAGCGAAACGGGTTGCGCTAGGCGAATCCAAGCACCATGCAGGAGGGAGGGGAGAGGACAACAAGGCGCTCGCCAGGGGAGGGGGCCGAGAGGAGCCGGGCCCGCTCAGAGCAGCCCGGGAACGTGGCAGGGCCGGCGCCAGGGAGCCAGCGGCGGCGGCGGCAGTCACACATCCACACACACAATTCACGATGATCGCAAACCCGCCGTCACTTTGCATACGTTTTTTCAAAGGGCTTGTCGCGGGGGGGTCCACGGTGCCCAATCTGGCGGACCTGGTGCGCGTGGCTGGAGTCCGCGTTGGTTCCCAGCTTATAGATCACCCAAGGAAGGGCTACCCTAGGCCTACCCCTAGGGTCTACCCCTAGGGCTACCCTAGGCCTACCCCTAGGGCCTACCCCTAGGGCTACCCTAGGCCTACCCCTAGGGCCTACCCCTAGGGCTACCCTAGGCCTACCCCTAGGGTCTATCCCTAGGGCTACCCTAGGGCTACCCCTAGGGCCCCTAGGGCCTACCCCTAGGGCTACCCTAGGGCCTACCCCTAGGGCCTACCCCTAGGGCTACCCTAGGCCTACCCCTAGGGCCTACCCCTAGGGCTACCCTAGGCCTACCCCTAGGGCCTACCCCTAGGGCTACCCTAGGCCTACCCCTAGGGCCTACCCCTAGGGCTACCCTAGGGCTACCCCTAGGGCCTACCCCTAGGGCTACCCTAGGGCTACCCCTTGGGCCTACCCCTAGGGCCGCCTTTGCCGGAGGAGAAGCACGAGGATGAGGGGGAGGAGTACCGAGGAGGAGGAGGAGGAGGAGGAGGAGGAGGAGGAGGAGGAGGGACAGGGAGAGGGAGAGGGCGGAGGAGGAGCAGGAGGGACGGAGAGAGGAGGAGGAGGAGGGGGAGGACGAGGAGGAGGAGGACGAGGAGGAGGAGGAGGAGGTGACAGCCCCGCCTGCGCCGCCCTGGCGCCAGACGGCGCCCCCGTCGACCGTCGATCGGCTCGGCTTTGCGTCGTCGTCGTCGTCGTCGTCGTCGTCGTCGTCGTCGTCGTCGTCGCCGTTGCCGTCGTCGTCGTCGCCGCCGCCGCCGTCGCGCCCCAGCATTGCCTTGGTCGCCCGCTCTGCGTTCAAGTGCGGAAGGCTCATGGGATGCGACTCCTGGCGTACTTCGGAAAGGCGTGCTCTGTCCCCTCCTCCCTCCTCCTGGCCCCTCGTCTTCCGAGTCTCCGAAAGGGGGTCGGGAATCCCCGAGGGGGGGACAGCGAGGGGGGGTCCCAGAGGGGGGGTCAGCGAGGGGGGGTCGTGAAGGGGGGGGGTCGTGGGTCCAGAGGGGGGGGCAGGCGAGGGGGGGTCCCCGAGGGGGGGTCGATGCGAGGGGGGGTCAGCGAGGGGGGGAGTCTGCGCAGGGGGGGTCTTGCGCGGGGGGGGTCCCAGAGGGGGGGTCTGCGAGGGGGGGGTCCTGCGATGGGGGGGGGCTGCGAGGGGGGTCAGCGAGGGGGGGGATTATGCGAGGGGGGGTCAGCAGAGGGGGGTCTGTGAGGGGGGTCAGCGAGGGGGGGTCCCAGAGGGGGGGTCAGCGAGGGGGGGTCTGTGAGGGGGGTCCCAGAGGGGGGGTCAGCGAGGGGGGGTCCCAGAGGGGGGGTCTGCGAGGGGGGGTCTGCGAGGGGGGGTCAGCGAGGGGGGGGTCAGCGAGGGGGGGTCCCAGAGGGGGGGTCTGCGCGGGGGGATCAGCGAGGGGGGGTCCAAGAGGGCGGGCGGTCAGCGAGGTAGGAGTCACAAGGAGGGGGGGTCAGCGAGGGGGGGTCCCAGAGGGGGGGTCAGCGAGGGGGGGCATGTGAGGGGGTCCCATGAGGGGGGGTCAGCGAGAGGGGGTCAGCGAGGGAGGGCGTTGCGATGGGGGGTTCAGCGAGGGGGGGTCAGAGGCGTCAGCGAGGGGGGCTGTTAGCGAGCCCCGGGCGGTGGGTCCCAGAGGGGGGGTCAGCGAGGGTGGGTCCCAGAGGGGGGTCGTCAGCGAGGGGGGTCGCACGAGGGGGGGTCAGCGAGGGGGGGTCCCAGAGGGGGGGTCTGTGAGGGGGGTCTGCGAGGGGGGGTCAGCGAGGGGGGGTCTGTGAGGGGGGTCCCAGAGGGGGGGTCCCAGAGGGGTGGTCCCAGAGGGGGGGTCTGCGAGGGGGGGTCAGCGATGGGGGGGTCTGCGAGGGGGGGTCTGCGAGGGGAGGTCAGCGAGGGGGGGTCCCAGATGCGGTGGTCTGCGAGGGGGGGTCCCAGAGGGGGGAGGGCAGCGAGGGGGGTCCCATGAGGGGGAGTCTGCGACGGGGGGGTCCCAAAGGGGGTTCAGCGAGGGGGGGTCAGCGAGGCTGGCTGTCCAGCGAGGGGGGGTCTTGTGAGGGGGGTCCCAGAGGGGGGGTACAGCGAGGGGTGTCCGAGGGGGGGGTCGTGCGAAGGGGGGGTCTGCGAGGGGGGTGTCTGCCTTTGGGGGTTCAGCGAGGGGGGGTACCAGAGGGGGGGTCTGTGAGGGGGGTCCAGAGGGTGGGGGTCAGCGAGGGGGGGTATTACCGAGGGGGGCGTCTGCGAGGGGGGGCCCCGGGAGGAGGAGGAGGGAGGAGGAGGAGGAGGAGGAGGAGAGAGGAGAAAGGAGAGGGGAAGGAGGAGGAGGAGGAGGAGGAGGAGGAGGAGGGGGAGGAGGAGGAGGAGGAGGAGGGGTGGGAGTAGCAGGAGGAGGAGGAGGAGGAGGGGAGCCCAAGCCCAGACCTCCTCGAAGACCGAGGGCCGAGCAGGTCTTCGTCGGTCCTCGGCGTCTCCCTCGCGTCGGCGTGCGCTCAGGAAGGCGCGCCCCGCCGGGCACGCCCCAGGCCCAGACAGTCGTCGTCGTCGTCGTCGTCGTCGTCGTCGTCGTCGTCGTCGTCGTCGTCGTCGTCGTCGTCGTCGTCATCGTCGCCCTCCGCCTCCCCCTCCTGCTCCTCCTCCCCCTTCTCCTCCTCTTCCACTCCCACTCCGCCACAAAGGGCATCAATATGTAATCCGCCAGCAAAGCAAGCAATGCCTTTAATGTCCCGCCCGCCCGCCCGACCAAAAGAATCAGCTTGTAATCCGCCACAATAGTAATCAACTTGTAACCCGATGCCACATGGAATCACTTTGTAATCCGCCACCAAAGCAACCAATGCTTTTAATGTCCCGC